ACAGATGCCTGGTACCATCAGGTTGACCATATGGGAAGAATAAACCTGAGGGCAGGGAGGGATGGGGATGGGGCATCAACATTCCTTACCAGGACATTGTACTGTGAGACAGAGATGTTGTTGGGATGCACGGTAAGCCGGACACACTGCTTCATCTCCGAGGCAAATCTCCGAGGCTCGCTGGAGCGCTCGCACCGCTCCTTCCTCGTGCACCTGAGCAAAGGGGAACAGAGAAGGGCAGGGTTAACATGAAGCCTCATTGGGAGGATAAGGATGGTCCTGGGATGAGTAGCACTGAGGGTGGAAAGTCAGCCTTTGGCTCTGCATTGAGCCAAAGAACAACATCGAAGAGGCGGGTAGGGGTGTGCAGTGCAAGCCTCAGCCCTTGGGTAGGATGCACAGCTCTGGAGATGCTCCAGTGGAAGCAGTGCGTATGTGGCGTGTGGGCAGCACAAATGCACAAAGATTGAAACAATCACAAATTTTTATCAGGGCTTTCAGCAGCTTTCACTGCCTCTGCTCTTCTCTGAGGGATGTAAACATAGAAGAGCAATGTGAAATGGTAACAGCATGCTCTGTTTTAATCCAGATTTGAATTGGTTTAAAAGAAATACGTATTTTACTCCATACACGTTGCTGAGGCCACAGCTTCGGGGAAGATGTCTGCCTAGAAATCCAGGGGTTAATACAAAAGGACAGCTCCAACTGCATGCCAATTACCTTTTGCTATTAAGCTAATGTTATGGACTTGCACAGAGTGTCTTCAATGGATTTTGTTATTAGCAGTGCTATTACCCCCCATTAAAATCAGCTATAAAGACTAAGCGTGGATGTTAAATTATTCAGCCACTCCCAGACTTTGGATCCCTCAGTTCTGAGAGCATGGGGGGGTGGTGAGGGATTAGCTCCAGGATCACCTTGCTCCCTGGAGCCGAGCTTGCAGCCCCATGCACAGGGATTTGCAAGGGGACATCTAAGGCAATACATTTCATTGGACCCTGGTCTAGGGCTTGAGGGCTTGTCTTCTCTTTACTGACCAAAACTAGTCAAAATGAACATCCTAATCTTAAACTGCTGCATCTTCCTGGAACAGGAAATTTTTCAGTTTCCAGGAATTAGAAGGGAAATCTCAGCCATCCTCTGCAGACCCCCAGTTTGGTTTGCAGATGTGAGAGATCGAGAACAGCACTGTAGCTCCCTCTCCGCTCCCTGGGAGCCCTCCTCCCATTAGTCTCCTTTAGCGCTGCCACATATCGGATCAGGAATTTTCAATGTACAGTCTCCAGAGGGCTAGAAGGAGAGCCTATTAACTGCTCTCAGAACTGCAAGTCCCCTATCACAGAATGAAAGCCAAGGCAAAATGCTGACCTGAGATTTTTGCAAACACTTTTTGTAAAACAAATAGGTGCAGCAATACAGACAAAGCTCTGCAGGGTGTGGAAATTCCTCCCCAGAGAATAGCTGGGAAGCAAAACCTTTTGGGCTTGATGTCAAAAAGCAAGTGCTCAAATTCTTCAAAAAGCCCATCCGCCTCCCATTTATTTCCTCAGACTGCAGCATGGCTGAAATGTCTGAATCTTCTGAAATTAAACGGGCAGCTACCCAGAGGCAGTTTCAGTGACGCAGCACAGGAGTTTGCAAGGTCTTTTAGTCTCTGATGCACAAGCACACCTGGCACTTGCACAGGAGGAACAACGCATGGGAGGATGGCAAGAATTAAGCAGCCTGGTTTATATTGCCTGCCCTACCACTGAGCTGGAATCTGTATGTTAACATCCTATCCTACTGTTTACTTACTTGCTGGTCTGTATGGATTTAAAGAACACAAACCTTCAGACCAAAGATTCACTCTGCATGTGACATGTTTTACAGCCCCGGTATCTACTGTAAGGCATATCATCATACAAATAATAAATTAATAATAAAACATTATTATTAATAATAATTAATTAATAATAATAATAATAATTATAATAAGCAAGAGGGTTGGACTAGATGATCTCTAGAGGCCTCTTCCAACCTCAGCCATTCTATGACTCTGTGATTCTATGAATAATAATAATTACTATAATAACTTATAATAATAACTTGGCTTTGCTTTAGTATAATATTAAAGAGTCAGACACTCAGAAAATAGGTACTGCCAGACTGAAAGTAGCTTTGGCATTCCTAAATCCTTCACTGGCGCATCTTGAGTCAGATTTTAACTACAAGATCACCTATTGTTGCTATTATGTTATTTTTTTCCATAGCTGATCTTAATTCTGTCACTTGCTATCTTTTGACTTTGCATTCATGCTCACTATCTGAATTCAATTTCTCAATTTAAACCTGAAAAACAAACAAGCAAAAAATACCAAATAAAAAAAAAATGCAGCCTAAATATGATTAGAGGGAGTTTTCCCAAGCAGACCCAGGCTGAGCGCAGCTCTGGGTCACCGCAGAGGTTCAGGTCCTTAGATCAACATCAGAGACCTCTCCTCTCCAAAGAGCATGATTGATCCCAGGTAGTTGATCCTGGTCCCTGCTTAAATCCAGACCAAAGAGGCGGAACCAGCTGCCATTGGGTTTCTCAGCAGAGCAAGGTATTGCCCTCCCCAACCAGCCTCAGAAACGAGTGGGGTCTTCAACCAAAGCTAAAATGCAGAACAAAGCACAGCAAAACCCCAGCCAGCAAAGGCAGCCACCCCGAGGGGACTTTTAGGTGAATAAATGTCTCCAGACACAACCGCCCTTCCTAGCAAGGTTGTCCCCTGGCTGGTGGCATGCTGCAGCTGAAATATGGGAGGGAAAACCACACAGGCCAGCTGACAAAATCCATCTGTCCTAGTCATTTCTGTGCTCTCTTCTGAGAAACTGTGTGGGCTTTGGGCCCTGAGCAATCGCTGTGACTCTGCTATGCTCTCATCTGGCACAGCTGATACCCTCCCTGCTATTGCCTATGCAGACAAATGCCTCATGTTGCCAATAATTGTTTCCTTTTAATAAAATATCAGTAACTCTAACACACCAGCTCTGTCAATACACCGAGATCACTTTCCACTGTCATTGAACCTAATTTGGTGCTATTCATGCTATAATTAACTTCTGTGTAACTCCCACCCAGTGGCATCACATTACAGTTAAGACACCTAAAACAGCGGGTGCCAGCCCTGAACTTATTTGCATAAGATTAGGGTGCAGACATGGCACTTCTCTGTATGTCTTAATAACACCTGCTATTTCATTATCGGCTGCATCTTTAACAATTGCAAGTGTCCTGCCTCTGTCTAAACCATTAGTACTAATACTAAGAGACTGGTCCTACCACTGAACCATGAGGAATCCCATTTCCTGCTCATCTCACGCTAAAATAAATACCGCTAAAGCTAACCCTCTGTTCACTATCCACTAACCAATTATTTTGATAATGTTAAATTAATACTTTGCGCTTCTGTGGCATCTTTCATCCAAGGATCTCAAAGGGCTTTGCCTGGAGCTAATTAATCTTCACGGCACCTCTCTGTGGTTGATATACTCCCACTCA